AGAAACCCAGGAGCGGTTGGGGCTCCGCAGTGGAATTCTTGCCTTCCCTAGGGGAGATGCAGGCTGTACTTCTGGCCAATGCATCTGAAACCCGATCAGTGCTCACCTGTTGGTGCGGACTTGCAGGTGGTTATGATGGGAGCAGGTTTCGGCAGAACGTTCAGAATAAGACAGACAAGGAAAAAACGCTTACAACACAGTCCTGAAAGTCAACTCAAGAAAACCCTGTGTGATCCCTGGGGCCACGGCAGTTACCCTTCGGGCTGGGATCTGCCAAGGGCCCCTCCACGGGAGGCAGGCAGGGCCTTCGACTCCCGGAGAGGGTTGAAGTCTCGGAAACGCAAAGGGCCAGTTCTACTCTGTCCCGAAGGGTCGCTTTGAGTCGGCACCGGCTCGATGGCAGGGAGTGAGGTTTGGTATGGATGCCAAAGGCCTGATGGTATTTCAGTTGTGCTCTCCAGGATTTGTGGCTGGTGTTGTAGCCACGAACAACAAAGCGTGAACAGAAACTTGGTATTCCTGAAGTAATAATCCTTCCGGGTAATCACTAATCAGCTCCAGTTTCTATTTCCCTAATCTAAGTAGTAGCAGTAAAGTAATTTTAAGGAAATAACAAAACAGCAAGAGGGAAAACAAAAGCATTTAGGACCTAAATGCCCCTTTAAGGATAGCTTGCTTACTCTTTGTCGTCCCCCCGCCCTGTTCACTGTCCCCTGGAGAAGCTCCTCTCTGGGATCGGGAAGTCTCACCTCCGACCCAAGACTAACTCATTCCCAAAAGGTGAGACTTGATCTCTAATGTATTCACACGGTGACCTTTCAGAAATTCTTAGGATGAAGAGTACAAGCTAAGATTAGTGCTTTTATTGAGAACTCCAACTGGCCAGGGGCTGAGACGAATGGTTTAGCACATGTTGTCACATGTATTCCTCCACACAGCCCTGGGTCTGTGCAATTAGGATATTGAAGGAGCGCCAACATTGCCGCTCTGTACTTCATAGAAGAGGAAGCAGAGGCCCTAGTTTCCTAGGGGCACAGGACTTGAGAGGTTAGGATGGTAAGGGTGACGAGAAGTAGCAGCCCTCCTACAAGTCTTGACCTAAAACATTCAGCAAGATCCACAGCTGAGAGATGATTCCTCTTAAAGTACATCTGTAGTTTCATTAAGGGCCCACATTAATTGTATCCTAGTTAATGGGAATGAAATAAATTTAATAAAGAAATTAAAAAATTACAGGGGTTATGCTCATAGAAAGAATAAATATCTCAGAATTTTAAAGTGCTTCTTGGACTGTCTCTAATACAAGACCAGAACAACCCACTTTCTGTCTGTGGGCATCCAACATGGTCCTAGAAGGCGCACAGGGTGCAGGTGTATTGCAGGTTCCCAGGAGTTACTGGTTTCTTTTGAATCAAAATGGCAAGATACAAGTGATTAATAAAATATATGGGCATCATGTACTTAATAAAGAAACCTAAGGACACAAAAGTGAAGCCCTGAGGACAATGTCCCTGCATGGAGCCGCTAAGGCACAGAGAGGACGGTAAGACTGACAACAGCTCACGACATGATGTCCTCTCGCTGGAGCATACTGAGACAGAGGACACTACTGGAGGCACACAGTGGAGAGTGAGCCCGGTTTGACTCCACCACCACCCCACCATTACTACCCCAGTGGGGCGAACCAAAGAGGGAGTATAACAGATCATCAATGGGAGAAGGGCCAAGCCACACAATCCCTGAAGAGCCCCCCAGATAAACTTCAGGCTAGGAGGGGCAGTTCCTGGTACCCCCAGGACCAGTGGGGAGATAGTCACAAAGGTACTTCGACAGACCTAGAAATATGTATGCTTTTTCAGTTATTGTGCTAGCTTTTCTTCTTTCTTTTCTCTTTTTATTCAATCTTTTTTGGGTCTCTATTATTGTTTTGTCTACCTACATAAGCTAGGCATGGGAAGCAAGCCTGAGGAGAAAACAACAGGATTGATGTTTCCAGAGGGAGTTGGGGAAAGGGAGAGGTGAGCAAACAACATGATAGACAGGGGAACAACTAGGGAATTAAAAGCACCAACGAGGAGGACGTAGAGATCCTAGGGGTGTTTGAGCAACAGCAACCTAGCTGAGAAGAATTACTAAGAAGCAGAAGGGTGAACGTGATAGTGGGGCAGGAGGAAGGTAAAAGGAAACAGAGGAAAGATCTAGGAAGCAAAGCTATGGATAGAGGTATAAACATAGGTATGTACATATGTAAATACATTAATTCATAAAAGTAGAGGTATTGGCCTATATACATCTATTTATATGGCAATGCATTGAGGAAGTGGACAGATATTGGGCCTCTGCTCAAGATGTCAATCAATGCAAGAACACCTTGTTCTAACAACCAGGCATTCTGTGATGCTCACCTTCCCAATAGGATCACATAAGCAAATGTGCTGAAGAAAGCTGATGGTGCCTGGCTATCAAAAGATAGAGTGCCTGGGGTCTTAAAGGGTTGAAGTTAAGCAAGTGGGCATTTAGTAAAAAAGCAACAAGGCCACATGGAAGAAGCACACCAGTCTGTGCAATCATGAAGTGTCAATGGGATCAGGCAATAGGCATCAGAGGACCCCTCACCCCCAAAACAAAACAAAAAAACCACATTGTTGTCACAAGGAAGGATGAGTCAACCAGGGCGCAGTATAGCACTGAAGAAACACACAATATTCCTATGGTTCTTTGAGGCTTCCTCACCACCACCACCCCACTATCATGAGCCCAGTCCTGCCTTTCACTGTGGGCTATACTGGAGCGTGCACACTGGTACAGTTAAGAGCTCACAACACACAGAATCTAGGTCAGATAAACCCTCAGGAACAGAAATGGGAGTTGAGATACCAGGAAGGTAGGGAGAAGGTGGGGGTAGGAGAGGAGGAAGGAGGAACCAATCTCAATGATCAAAGCAAAAAGAGATTACCACCCCACAAGAGAAACGTGGGTGAAGGCAAACATCAGTCCATGTAAGATATGAAAATAATTTGTAATTTATCAAGGGGTCACGGGGAGGGAGGGAAAAAAGGAGCTAATATCAAAGGCTCAAAGAGAAAGTTAATGTTTAGAAAATGATTGCAACATATGTACAAATATGCTTGATATGATTGATGAATGGATTGTTGCAAGAGCTGTAAGATCCCCCAATAAAAGCATCTCTAAAAAAAATGTGAGTCAGAAAACATTTCTTTCCTTCAAGGCACTTGCAATCTAGTGGATGTTGTGGGCGTGCATGGGATTAACAGTGGAATCCGTCAACATTAAGTACAGAGAACTGGAGAAACAAGGATACGTAGCCAACAAGAGGGCTTCTAAACAGAATACTTACTTCCAGAGGACAGATGCACTATGGTGATATTGATAGGTGCTGTCCATCGGTTCTGATGCATAGCAGCCCTATGTACTGCAGAACAAAATACCACCTGGTCTTGCACCACCTTCACAATTGTTTCTGTGATTGAGCCCATTGGTGCAGCCGCTGTATCGATCCATCTTGTCAGGGAGCTTCCTCTTTTTCTCTGCTCCTCCACCAAGTATGATGCCTCTTTCCAGGCACTGGTCTGTGTTGATAACCTGTTCATGGGAAAAAGTCTTGTCAGCCTTGCTTCTAAGGGACATTCTGGCTGAACTTCATCCAAGACAAATGTGTGTGTGTGTGTGTGTGTGTGTGTGTGTGTGTGTGTGTGTGTGTGTGTGTTTTGGCAGTCCACAGTACTTCCAATATTCTTCTCCAGGACCACAATTCAAATGCATCAATTCCTCTATCTTCCTTATTCAGTGTCTAACTTTCACATGCAGATGAGGAATGGAAAAGACCATGACTTTGGTCAGGCACACCTGACTCCTCAAAGTAAAATCCTTGCTGTCCACTACTCTAAAGGGACCTTGTGCAGCAGATGCACCTAATGCAATGCATCTCTTGACTGTTGCTTCCAAGAGCATTGATTGTGGAGCCAAGCCAGGCGAACTCCTTGACAACTTCAATCTATTCTCCCCTTACGGGTCCAGTTGTGAGGATGTTGGTCTTCTTTACAGTGAGTTGTCATCCATACTGAAGGCTGTGATCCTTGATCTTCATCAGCAAGTGCTTCAAATTTTCCTCACTTTCCGCAAGAAAGATGCATGCTTAGAAAATAGTTAAACCATGGAGCACGTGGTGTTTGCGATGGCCGCAGATTTTAAAGGAACTTGTGCATCCTCCTCAAGCCTTGAGTTACTGCTGATGGCTTCTGAGTGGGGATCTGCCCAGATTTTAGGGAAATTAGCTCTGGCAACAACAGGGTTGGGAAGAGAGTGGTGGTGCAGTGTGAGAAGGAACCACATGCTGCTCCCCCGTGGTTCCCAGAGGGGGCCCCCAGCTGTCTTCCTGCATCGAGCTGAAGCTGGGCAATCGGGGTCCCATGCAGTGTCAATCCCCCCCGCTAGCACCGTGCATGTCTACCCTGCACACTGCAAGGTAGTGTGCTACATCGTGCTATGATTGTAAGCTGCCCTGCATGAGTAATCGATCCTGGGCAGCTACTGTGTGGATGGAAAGGAAAAACCAAATCCAATGGTGTCGATTCCACAGTGGAACTGGTGGGAGGGCAGGCGGGTACTCCCATGAGTCTGCTGAAGAGGCAGAGGGGAAAGGCCATCGGTCATTATCCCAGCTCCGCAGTGTATCACGCCGCATACATCGTAAACATGGGATAGATATCTGTTGAATAAATATTTAAATGAATGCATGAAAGGAATACAGAAAACGGGGCGGCTGAATAAGATTGTGTTATCACTGAAGAACCATCTGGACATCTGTATCAAGAACCAATCAGTTGTGATCAGTGTTAGACTTTGTAAGTTTAAATAATAGATGTGGAGATGCCTTGTATACAAAGGGAAACTCTTGGGGCTCCTTTGTTTCTGACAAGCCTCTGCCACTCTCCTTTGAATGTGATAGAGAAACGGCAATGTTCTCTCTCGCCTAACAGGTAGACTCGCCTCGGGGACCCACCAAGTACCACCGGAGGGGCTGCGTGTCCACTGGAGAGAGTTCCTGACTGGATGCCCAAGACGCTGCCAACAGTAAGTGGGGGCTGGGAGCAGTGTGGAACAGTGTCCTTCACCCGTGGACATCCGACACGGAAACGGAAAGGCATCTGACATGCACAGCAAATCGCCACCAGCTGGTGACGAGGCCTCTGCCATCCCGCGCATCCCTCCCAGCGCCACCACACGCCAGGCACACATCCGCCAGGGAAGGGCGCGTGGGGGACTACATCATCCGTTGAGTACTTTCACAACTGCTTTCTTTGAACCATAAGAAGAGGCTTCGAAATGTTCATGGGGAAACTCTATTGTTGCTTAATTCCATTTTTGCCACAAACCTTGAAGCCTCTGAATCTCGAGGGGAGGGTGGGGGGGGATGATTGAGGGGAAGGGCCGAAGTGTAGTCATTTATCAGAAATCAGTGCTGCCCATTCTCTAAATGCCACAGGAATATTGGAATTGGAAAATGAAGATAGCCCTGTGATGTGCCCCTTGATTTTTCTTAGTGATTTGATATAGGTTATTTTGCTGGCAACTAAAACTTTTCCACACGCTGGTTATTACTATGTAGTATAATGCTATGTACTATGTAATGTAAGGTAATATAATGGAAACATCTTCTATTGAGTAACTCACTAATTTGCTTCTTCCGACTGGTCAGACTTCTCCACTTTATGATTTCTCATATTGAGACCAATGGATGTTCTGGGCTTCTAAATCATGTATATGATAGGACTTAAACAGAATTTTTAGTGGCATTGACTTTGGGACCTAGGTAATGCTAATTTCTAGATGGAGAAGAATGGGTTAACTAAGAAGATACAAAGAAGGCAGAAAGGGGGCTAAGAAGAATGAAGGGTGGTGGAGGACCTGCTGAAGACATTTCTTCCAACCTTTGTTTAACTTAATCCACTTGCCCCAGCATATCTGGAAAGGGGTTAGTGGGGTACAAGGTAAAAATATTTAATACTATACAGAAACTCAGCGCCATCCAGTTAATTCCAACTCACAGAGAGCCTAAAAGACAGACAATATCTGTCCTGTGGGTTTCTGAGACTGACTCTTTACAGGAATAGAAAGCCTCCTCTTTCCTCCGAATGTAATACCGTAGAGAAGATCGTTGAATTCCAATTACCTCAATCTCTGTGAGTCTCTTCTAATCACAGAAGAAACAGCATGTAAAATAAGAAGGAAAAGAAACCATAAGCAGCTTAGAAATAGAATGTTATCTAGCTGTCCAGAGTCCAAATGACAATAATATTGCTCACAGAAGAAAAGTATCCACCTACTTATATATGACCATGTATGTGAATTATTTATTTAACTCTGGTATGATCTTAAGGAAGTAATGCTCCCTAAAAACTTCAGCTACTGTGGATTCCTCTGGATTAATTCTAAAGTGGTTACACATTGGGTTGTGATCCCTAAGGTCCCATGTTCAAAACCACCAGGAAAAAGATGGGGCTTTCTACTCCCGTACAGAGTTAAAATCTCAGAAACTCTCAGGGGCAGTTATACCCTGTCCTGTAGGGTCGCTATGAGTCAGTACAGACTCGTAGCAGGGAATTTGGGGAGAGGGGGTATTGTATACTATGAAGCCCTAGGAAGACTTTTTCCTATGGACCCCAGGTAGGTGTGAGTTGGAATCAACTACTGATGCCATTGAGAATGTCATAGTATCACTAAATAGGGGGAAATGACAGGGAAAAGCCAACGGGCTCAGATGTCCTGAAAGGTAACATAACCAAGCCATCAACAAGAACTTGCTTCTGTCAATAACTTCTGAGAGCTAAACTGGGAAGAGCAGCTGAAACTGCGGGAGTCTCTCTGGCCCTGGCCTGCGGGTGAGTGCTTAGTAACTAATGCTGGAGCCTCCCAGCCCCAGGAGATCCTGACAGAGGACCCTTCTAGAACAAAGCCCATATTGAGGATAAAGTGGCGGAATGAGATGCAAATTGCAGTAGAAAAACATAATAGATGCAAGAGAGCTGAGATGGTTAAAGTTTATTGTGCCAACCTGGCTGGTAAACACATGTGGGATTAATTGAAGGGCAGAGAGATAAATGTCTCAGTGAGCCTAGCCTTTGTAGTTCTCTGGTATCTTGCTTTCTGATGGTCAGAACAGGGTGCAGTTGCCTTAGCCAGTTCCCTGCTTCAGCTGGCAAGGCTCACTTCCTGCAAGACATCCCCAATGCAGCCCTGGGTGCTGGAGCAGCCGTGTGGAGGCCCCTGCCAGTGCTGAGATGCTTACACGTTCACTGAGTCAGCTTTCCTCCTGCAGTCGGTGTCATTGCGTATGTTTTGTGAGATGGAGGAAGACTCTGTGGATTGATGTTGGACATATGGGTTAATGGTGGACTTGTGGGCTTGAGCAGCACTGGGTTGGGATGTTTTCTTGATGTGCACTTACCCTTTATATAAAACTCTCTCTTATACATATGGGTTTCTGTGGATTTGTTTCTCTAAAGCACCCAAACAAACATAAGAGCCAAAGGAAAAAGGAAACTCAGATAAAAGTACAGAAATGGGAAAAGGGCAAGCAGGTATCAGAACTATAGGACATGCTATGAAACACTTGTCAAAAATCATAGAAGAGGAAGCATTGGCATGGTGATGAGCGGAAGCGCTCCTGATGCACCCTTCCTTCCTGTGAGAATTAAAAAAAAACAAAAAACGCTCATCTCACACAAGAATGTTGCAGTCAAGACTGCTATAAGGAAAGGGGGATTCAGCAAAACAATTTCTAAGGGAAAAAAAAGAATACACAGAAATGAATCAGAAGTAAATTAAACTGCAACTTAACAAATCCAACTTAATGAAAAGGTGGGGGCTGGCGGTGGGAGGTGGGGGTGAAGTGGGGTGGGGTAGGTGGAGATGATAGAACCTTTGGAAGAACAGCATCAGTCTGAATTAGAACAACTGAAATATAACCTAACTGGAGGAACTTTGGCAGAAAGGTCTATTTCTAGTCTGGAAGCAGAATTCTCCTTCAGAAAACCTCATTCTGCTCTGACGTCACTGGAAGAGGCCCACCTACATCATATAGGGTTATTTGTTTAATTAAGGCCGACTGATTTAAATGCTAATCACATCTAAATATTTCGTAGCAACACTAGATGGATGTCGACTAGACAACTTGGTAGCATAGATTAGCTAAATTGACACAACAGCATGACCATCACAGGCAAACAGAATGGCTGAAGAAATAACAGTAGAACTGGTGCTATGGAATGTGTATTTGTATAACCCAGAGTACATGTAGGTTATAAGGGAGACAGTGTAAAATATAGGGCTGATTTGCTCCATAGAGACAATTGGACTGTCTAAAAGTGGATAGGGAGATTAAAAATGAACTACAAACACTGAAATAAGCTATCAGATTGCCTCCAAGCTCTCAAAAGCCCCTTGCTGTTCAGTCAGTTTGAGTGCACGGAGTTAGTTCTCCTGCAGGGTGGCTGGTGGGCTTGAACTGCTGGCCTTTCAGTTAGCAGCCAAGTGCTTAAAGCCAAGTGCACTGCCAAGGTTCCTGAAGATACCAAAGGGAGGAAGGTAATTAGGTGAAAGGAGGAGGGCTATAGAAGAAGTCGTGAGCTAACTTCAATGTTAATTACAGTAGGTTATGAGAAAGTTAAAAAAAAAAACTAACATGAAAATTTTAATAAAATCATCTATGTAAGTTGAAATAATGGTTACAAAGTCATAGAAGCCCCTATTAAACAAAAATATCAAAAGAACAATATTAAAAAGGCAGGGGTGAAGGAGAGATAAAGAGAAAGGAAGGACGGGTGGGGAAGAAGGAAGATGGACTTAAGACAGGCTTGACTCTTACTAGCTCGCCAAGCCGGAAATGCCACTTTACATCCATCTTGTATGAAGGTGAGGAAAGAAAGCATTGCTACAAAATAGCAAACCTTTCTTAAACAAAAATGTGAAGATTTCCCTCAACATACTCTTCATCTAGGCCTATACACTTCTGAAGATGATGTTTCCATCTCTCCATCTCTTCCCCCGCAAAGAATTCTGTGCTTTGGCATCCTACAGGGATTCAAGTGGTATTCTTTTGAAATGTTCTCGGATGTGCTAGTCCAAGCTGCCTAGAGAAACAAATCCACAGACACTCATATGTGTGTGAGAGAGAGCTTTATATCAAAGAGCAATTGTATATTGAGCAAACACCCCAGCCCAGACCAGATCAAGTCCATAATTCCGATAGTAGCCCATATGTCCAATACTAGTCCATAAATTCCTCTTTAGACTCACATAGCCCATGCAATGATGCCAAATGCAAGAAGATCACAGGCCAGTGGGTGGAAAGTGTTGTGGATCCAATGGTGGTAGAAGCATCTCCAGGGCTCTGACTGCATGGCTCCATGTTGCTTATCAACAGGAAGGTGGAACAGAGAGAGAGTGTAGCCCACCTCTAGGGAGAAAGAGAGGAAGTTCCCAGAATCCTCAAGAGAAGGCCACACCCACAAGGAGGCACCATCAGCCTGTGACCTGATTGACAGACTAGACACCACCCCTTCACTCTTAATTTCCTCAAGTTGACACCAGATTATGTAACTACCACATTTGAGTTTGGGAAACAGAAACGAGTTTGAAGGGCAAGGTCAGGGCTATAAGAGAGGCATTAGCACCCTCGAAGAATGAGCGGGTGCATTATTGGGATGAGGAAAATACCTGTACAAAATGTTCCTGGTCTTTCTCACACCAAAAATCTTCTTCGTAATAACTCCCCATGAGTGTCCAGTGTTCCCTGAGAAAATATGTCAGGATGACCTAATCCCCCAAAACAGTCACCATAAATTTCTGACCTAACCTCTGTGCCTTGAAATTAGCTGACTCGGCATGTCCTCTGTGTTGATTAGACATGTTTTAAGGCAGCCTAACAAGACTGAGACAAGAGTATCACTGAGACAACTTGTCTGCAGCCACGGAGAGAGAACTGACCGCAGAGATATCATTAAGCATGTTCTGTTGGCAATAAACTCATGCCTGTGTGAACTGGGACCCTACTAGTAATACTGGTTGACATA